TACTCTCTGATGACACACTGCAGCTTTGGTGCAGGCTCCAGCCTGTGGCCCATCTTGCTGAAAAGTAAGAAATCTAGACTGTGACCTTTTTGATGTAAGATGCACTAGCTCACTGTCTGTCCTTAACAGCGCGTGTATTTGTCTGATGCAAGGAGATGGAATAAAAGAGAATGAAACCCCTAATCAAACCATTATTGAAAAAAATAAACTAATACTAGTAAGCTGAGTAAGCTGAATACTGGTAGAAATGGTGAAATGGTGGCAACTATGAAAAAAGGATCCAAGTTGACTCTAAAATATATATAAACTGAAATTATTAGTAAGATAAGATGAGATAAGATGTTTCCTTATTGATCCCGCATAGGGGAAATTCAAACCCTAGTAAGATAAGTAAGCATTAGTAAGATTTTAATCCACCAAATTAATGAAAACCATTAAGAGGCAGACACTTCTAGGTGAAACCACGTTGGGTACAGTGCTGGTCTATTATGCTCAATGACACCAAAGGGACCAAGAGATACCAAACACCAATGAGTCCAGTTCTGTTTTGACCGACACTGCTTGAGGCTGTTTTGGCTTACAGTCTTTCCTGTGCACACATGACTTCCCTCCAGCGAATTGAATATGAGCACACAGAGTGAATCTACTGTGTGTCAATTAGTGGAGATGGAACACTCTTTATTTTCTGTCAGAGCCACATACACTTTGTGATTTGGGAATAGGTGTGTTTTCACATCAAAATCTGCATCCTAACAAGATCCCCATTTTCGACATTGTCACTCTGGTTTTCTCTCCCTGTTCCGTTCAACTTTCTCTGTTGTCTCTCTCTGTATTCTCATCTGCATTCTCTCTCTCCCTGTCTCTGTCTTCATCTATTTTTTCCTCTCTGCAGTGCACAGTTTTCCAGAACACCTTTTCCCCCCGGCTCTCAGGCAACTAAATATAGTGACTGGTGCAGACAGCTCGGCCTTATAACAAATGGTAAGCAGAGCAGAGCAGAGAAGAGCAGCGGTGGTGGTAGCATGAGCATAAGGATGTACTCTGGCTTCACAGACAATGAACCATATGGCACATACTTCAAATTTAAAGCGGCAAAAAATGAAGATAAACAGAAATGTTGTAAAAGTACATTTGTTTTGGAATAGGATCATGTACGTGAACTTCAAGTGGTAGCAATACAGATATAATTTGCCTAAAACTGGGGATCATAAGAATTCACTTTACATCCAAAGACACTGTAAACAGCTGCATATACCAAAAAATTTCAATAACATTTGGTGCTTTGTTTGAGCTGCCCATTGTATGTCATGTGCTGTATTTCCACTTTTATGATTATATAGAAGTATATGAGCTTTTGGTAAGCTGTACATGGAAGACAGTGCACGATTTCATAGTTTGTAATGCTATTTTTGTATCAGGGTCTCTAAAAACTGAGTTGTGGACACCATTTTGAAATGACTCCATTACTGTATGTGTGGTTGGCTTTCAAAGTGGCTTTTGACTGAGTTGTTAATTAAATGTAATGACCTTCTTTTGTGCCTGAAGTCTCTCTCTTTTCATTAGTAAATATTCTTTTAGCTTCCCAACACATCCCAGGTGCTTTGTGTTAAAGTGTCTTTGGAGCTTCATTGGATTCAGTGGCTCATTTGACAGGATTTCACCATGTTCAAATGTAGATTTTTTTTGGCTGTTTTTTTAAATACTTTTTTCAAGCTTTTTTGCCTTTATCAGACAGGACAGCTGAATAGTAACAGGAAAAGGCACAGGCTGGATCAGAACCCCTGGACTGTGCAGCAAGGACCCAGCCATGGCACATGGCGCCAGCCCCACCAGGGCACCACCATCTAAGGGAATGTTAACTGGCTAACAGTGGCAAAACATGTTTGACACTACCTGATGATGTGTCATGATTGGCGTGGTGATATTAAAATCAAACTGTTTATCAAAATTATTTATTTTAATTTTATGTTTTTTATGTATGTGAATTCTTCAGTACATAACTAGCTTTGTAAATTACAAAAACACCCAAATGTTTCTAAACATGCAGCAGTACCACTGTGTCCGTGGCCCACTAGTGGGTGATATAATATGCTCTATGATATATATGTTCATCATCATCAGTCACTACTATTAGTGTAGTTGTTGCTACTGTTGTTGCTGTGCACCTTTGTCTCTGTCTCTCTCTCTCTCACCCCAACTGGTCGAGGCAGACGACCACCCACCTAGAGCCGAGGGGTCTGTCCTAGGTTTCTGCCTCTTAAAAGGAAGTTTCTCCTTGCCGCTGTCACCAAGTGCTTGCTCATGGTGGTACTGTTGGGTCTCTGTAAATGTTATAAGGAGTTTGGTCTAGACCTGCTCTATTTGAAAAGTGTCCTGAGATAACTTCCGTTATGAATTGGCGCTATACAAATAAAATAAAACTGAATTGAATTGAATTTAATTATAATAGTCAATATACAGTATATAACACAGGAGACCACTGTTTTTTGTCCTGTTTTGTATGAATGGTTTCTTTTAACCATTATTGCTGTTGTTTCCTTATTGTGAACAAGTATCTATTACTGTAACCTTGATGATGAAGGTAGCCAAACTTTATCAAACCAGTCATTATAACCCAAATATTCATCTGTCTCTAAACCAAAAGTAATTTTTATGTCCAAACTCTAACCTGGTGAATTATTGATAATGGCATCAAATCAGAAAAATATCAGTTTGTTTCTAGAGGGCATGGACAAATAAAATATTTGATATTTAATTAGGAGAAAAAGTTTCATATTTGATTTCTAGCAATGCACATTTTAGAATGTTGGGACCAAACAAACTTACAAATGGCTGTATCAACAGCAATCATATCTGTTATTGGAGGTCTGGAAGAATCAAGTCTAAAATCTTTGCAGCTAGTGTGTAAACTGGGAGTCTGTTTTTTTTATTTTCTGTTGGCCTGGTACATGCTATTTGGGATAGGAAAGACCTGATTCTAAATCACACATCACTATTCATGTTACCAAAGGGGAATGTGAGAACATTCTACAAGCTCCCAGCTCAGGCCAAACTCCAGTGATGAAACTTTTTCAATTCAACCACTGAGCTTTTTGTTGAGTTGATTTTTGCCTCCCATATAACCTTCCATCTTGCAGAGGGAAGAGTGAGTGCAGTTTTGAAGCATCTTCGATGGTTTCTTCAACTAACATTTCAAGCACTGTGGCTGAGGACTCTCACTTTCTTTACTTTTCAGTTATGTTGCAAGATGCTTCAACAACCCAATACAGCAGTACATTTAAATGAACTCAGCCCATTTACATCATCTGTGTTCATAAATATCCCACTGGGATGTGAAATTTTGCAGCTCTGAACTCAATTCAATTCAATTCAATTTATTTGTTTAGCACCAAATCATAACAGAAGTTATCTCAGGACACTTTTCAAAATAGAGCATAGGCGAAAAAAACAACACATCAAATTTCTAAAAAAAACTCACTATAATTCCATAACCACCTGGATTGGACCAAAAAAGGTTCCCTAATTCACCAAAACCCTGAGCAAAGCATAACCCTAACCCCAATCATTTTAAAGTTTTTTTTTTTATCTATTTTATTCCCACATATTCTGCAAAAACCCACTCCTATACTGCCACTGATTGGCTCTGACCATGACATTTTTTTCTAACCCAACCAAACCAACAAAGGCAACAAACACTAGCCAAGTCAAGTGTGACATAGGTGTTTAGGAGTGTGTACCCAGAATCACCAGGAAGTGGCTGTACGCAAGAAGTAGTTAAGGTATGCATGTGGACAAAAATCAGAAGTGTTACCAGTGAGTGTTGGCCCATTTCAGACACAGTACAGCATCTCATTTGCATGGAAGAGGTTCTTTGTTGTTAGTAAAAATTTACTTTAGGCAAGTAGATTGCTAAAGCACTTGAAAAACCAGGCAAGCGAAAGAAAACAATAATGTTGAAACCTGAGACTACACTTAGAATTAGTCAAAATATACTTTCTGAAACAGATTTTAAAAAACGTGTTTTTCAGCAACCATTTCCACAGCATACACTGGTTCAGCTTGAACTGAAGAGGGGCAATGCTCTGTCAGAAAATGGCCACAGCTTGGCTCCCTCCTGATGGATTTCAATATAAAGTGGTGGAAATTTCAAAACTCTTCGCCTAAAAATATTTGATGCTATCAGCCTCCTCTCAGACTCAAACATTTTCTTGGGCAACGGACATTCAGAACCCAAACCTTTATGTCAAAAGCAAGATAAAGAATCCCTGTGTGAGCCAGAAACTACTTTCATCTTACAGACAGGAACTAAATCAGATGCACAGCACTGTGGTGCAGATACTGGCTCAGATCACAACGGATCAATTTTCCCAGCATGGAATTTTTTGAGGCTGCAAGATGGTTGATGCTGCGGTATGATTAAAGTAATTGAAAAGGCTACAAATGTAAGAGTCTTCGCTTAATTTGCATGTGCTTAGATTGTGCTGCGGGGTCATTCAAGGCTGCATTTGAATACAACCAATTGAATAAAAGAGAAGAATGTGGTAAAATGCAAACTCCACCTACACTGCCATTAGAAGCTGATTGGCACTGGGAAAACAAAACTCATGATAGCTGGAGGCGGAAAACCCCACAAACCATGCACGTAATTAAGAGCGGGAATGGTGTATCAAACATCTCTGCATAAGTGTGTATGAGAGCGTGAGTGGATTAACATGCTTGATTTGCTTCAGAATATATTTACAGATTAATTAAAGTCATCAAAGATTTAAAAATAAAATCAGAAAAAGCTTAAGAAGCTTTCCACTGTCCACCTCCCTGCATGTACACCCGAATAGTAACATAAATGTTTTCCGCTGTAGCTTTACCTCACAGAAAGACCAGCCAGTTGGTGAAACAATGGGACCCAATTAGTCATTAAATCAATCACAAAATCAATAACTCACTTTCGTACTCAATCAGCCTTCTCCAAACTAATTAAATCCCCAGATTGGTGGACTCACCTAGAACTCCAAGCCGGTAGTTGATTGTGATGACAATGACGTTCCCGTAGCTGGCCAGGATGCTGCCGTCAATCATGTTGCCGGTTCCCTCCATGTAGGAGCCTCCGTGGATGTAAACCATGACTGGCTTTAACCCATTCTCATCATGGATATCTGCAAAGAAGACAATGAAAATAAAAAGATTTTTTATTTTTTATTTTTTTATTACATATCTGAGATCAGTTGTGGAAGGTATTTTTTTCTTCTTGTTGATACTGTTTATTTATGCAGGTAGTGTCTAGTAGGAATGTTTGGCAACACACCCATGCATTTAAGGATAAAAACCACTATGGAAAGCTGCAAATTCCTGAGTTTGGCGCCCCCTAGTGGTTGTATGGAAAAAGTCCAGTGCAAAGATATGACACAGGAGCCTGGACTGAAAGCAACATCAAGGGTTCTGTTTTTACAAAGTGAATAACCCAATATACTATAATTACATTCAAATTCTATATGTAGAGAAAGATCAAATACTTCTTCCACTACTAGAGGCTAAAATATTCAATATAAAGAACAGGAACAGGTTGGAGCGAATCATGGTCACATTGGAAACATGGATGACATTCTTTCTTGATGTTGTAATCAACATACAGTATAGCTGGTAATGGGCTCTGATAAGAATTTCTGTGGCTTTAAACCTGCAATCTCTACATCTGTCTCCTCTCCTGCCTGCTCTATTTGTTCTTTGCGTAATGTTCAGGGAACGCCGCAATTAGGCCAGATGAATACCTTGTTTATGAGGCTCTCCAGTTGTGATTAAGCTGGGTGATTAGTACATGTGTAGGTGGTGATTATAAATTAAGAGTGGGTCTTTTGCATGAAAGAAGGTGGAAGAAGAAGATATAAATCCTCCCAACAAGTAGGGTTCACAATAAATCAGCCAGCAGCAGCTTCATCATCAGGAGCCTCCAACTGATTTCAACACAAGTCAACACATCACTCCATTTAACCCAAGGAAAAAAACTCCAAGAAAGAAGTATCATCGTTATCCTCACATAGCCCACCATCAGATCTGCAGATCTCCTGCAATACAGTAAGCTTGGGTTGCCTGGAACAGATAGCTAAATGAACCCATTATTCCTGCCAACCAGGCTGCTTGGAAGTCTCTAAAATGTCATTCGGGATGAGAGCATCTGCTGAGGAAAATATCGAGTTGAGAGGGGAGCCAGCCAGCTTGTGTGCTACTAGTGTGAGAGATTGAAAGCCATGATATTGTGCTCATTATAAATTCTCAAATAGAGGCTTCTGTTTACCTGTAGAGAACTAGGCTTTTATTTGAAACAGGTTTCTATTACAGACTAAAGTTTAATGCTAATTTTAGGTCTTAATGTCTTCCGATTTTAATTTTGTGCTAATTCAAACTATAAACCCAAATTGCATTAGTACAACACAGTCATGCCATACTCATCACCCTTGTTTTCATTCACCAATAGCTTCCATTGTCAGCTGCCTTTTTTTCGGTTGTTATTGGAGCACTGAGCAAGTTGACGTACTGTGAGTTGAGCTATGTTCATTGGCTGCACAGTTTCAACTCATCCAATGCAGAAAACAATGGCAGTTTGCCTGGTCACACACAATGTCAGATTACAGCTAAACAGTACACTAAAATATGCTTCTGAAACGATTTTAGGCAAGAAATAGGCAATGCGGTAAGAAAATCTTGATTCATATTTGATCACAACTTCCTAGTTTGACCTGACCTGAGTTTTGAGCAGTTTGCTGGACAGACTCGCTAAGAATGCCTTGTCAATTACAAGGTAGCCACACCCTAAAGCATACCCTGCCTTATCGTCTGTTTTACTCATATTGCACCATAGTTTTCAAAACAGAATTGCATTGCATGGAAGAATACTTTAATCTAGAGATAAAGACCATAAACTCATTAGGAAACAATTTACTAAGCTAATAAATCGAGTGAGAAGTTAAAATATAAATATACAAACTGAATAAAAAAAAGCAATAGCTTGTGATTGCAATAAGGGCTCCTACAGCGCCATCTTGTAATTTTGACATGAACATAAATGTTATTTTGACATCACCTCTGCAATTTCAAACAGGGTCTGGCTGCCACTAATTCAGGTGCACTGTAGTATGGAAAAACTAAAGCAGCTGATCTAAACTAAAGAGCTCCAGTGTTCTGTGTAATTGGTTTAAAGAGGATGCCTGCTGTCTGCACCAATTATTGGTTTCTCTTCCAGTTGCCATAGGCTGTGGCGAAATGCACAATGGTGTGCAACTGGAATGCCAGCTGTACTGTATATGTTGCACCTCAGTAAGCTTGGCAGAAAGCAACACAGGCGGGGAGGCAGGCAGGCAGGCAGGCGCAGGGCTGGAGGAGTGTATCATTTTCCTCCTCCGCAAAAGAAAACAGTGAGGCAAAGGAGTCGAAAGCAACCCACAGTGACAGGTTATTAATCTCCGCTGTGCTCTGAGTGGGCACCTCAACTTGGCTAATGTGCCTGCATCACAACACCTCACCTGCAAACAAGACTTGGGTGGGGTGGTGGGGTAGGTTCTAAACAGGGAGTCTGAGGGGGAGCTGGGGTCGAGAACCCAGACCGGACAGATTCACTCCGGTTAAATACAGACCTGTTAATTACAGAGGCAGGACAGCAGGGTGGTGTCAATAAGTTCATTTGTCATTCAGTTCCACATTATGAGAGGCCCGGTGGAACAGTGTAGGCGGTGGAAACAACCTTGAAGAGGCAGATGCACATAAAACAAGAGTGCTGCCATTAAGTTGTCATAGTCTCTAACTGATACGCATCTGATGGTCGCTGCAAGCCTCTGTGGGCTCAGACAAAACTATTCTGCTGGCTCTCCATCAAACAAACAGGCAAATTGACTGTTACTACCCATCTCTTTCGGTGTAGAGCAGCGGTGGAGTCAGAAGTCAGGAGGGAGACGGAGGGGGGTTCCACTCAGGCCACTTTGATCCAACAGAGAGATGCCCTGCAGATTTAGAGCCATGTTTTATGGCTGGGGAAAAAGAGGGTGGTCTCAGGGCACCATGTCCCAGTCCTGTCACTGTGGAGTGCACTTAAAATAAAGAAATCAAACTGCTTCAAGTGCTCTTCTCTCTCTCTGTCTGTCTTACTATCTGTGTCTCTCGTTCTCTGTGCTCTCTCAGGCCCGTGGAGCTTCCTGGGTGACTGCAGTGAGTTCGTCCTGGACATTCATCACTGCCACCCGGGCCTAGGGGATAATATATTCCTTCACTGGCTGCGCTGCGTTGCACACATTACTCATCTTTATATGGGTGAGGGTGGGTGGGGGTAGGGAGGGGATGATGTTGGGGGGTTGCTTGTTTGAGGAGGTTGTATGTGAATTTTCCATTGCTTTCAGCATTTTCTACTGTTAGTGGGACGAATACAAATGGCAGTTAATGGAGGCGGTGTAAAGTGCACCCGTCACCGCCTCCACCTCCACCACTGTCAATGCCATCACCACTGTATGTCCCAGCATGCCCAAACCCACAGACAGCAACCTACTTCCTGTTCAGTACAGTTCTACTGACATGCCAAAATACAACCAGCCTCCTCTCTCCAGAGTCACAGAGAGACATTATTTGGTCCAAACCTGTCAGGAACAGCAAAACAACAGCTGAAAACAGTATGGCGAGTATTGTCAAAAAAAAAAAAGCATAAATCTAGAATATGGCCATATATGACCATAGAAATTAAAGACACCACCCCCCCCCCAATATCCAATATCAGCTTTTCACATATTTTAAAACGTGCTAGTATGTGGTAGGAATATTAGTGTTTTAGGCATACATGTATTTCAAATACTTACCTGTTGTACAATAACTCTTTGCAGATGACACCAACATCATCGACCTGCATTTTTTAGTTACATAAGTAATGTTGTAACTGTAAAGTAAAACACTATACTTTCCAAGTACAGTATTTTTGGTTTAAGGTTTCCAGCCAGTTACTCTTCTTTTTCCAGTGGCTTTACTGTAATTCAATAAGTTATTTACTGTGTAGAGTTTAACCAAGTTTGAGCCTATCTTGATGTTACCCATTATTTTGTGGAGTACCGTTTTAAAGCCTCGTGTTTGGCACTGTGGCATATGCCATATTAGTTTTTTGGAGCCAGCAGCAGTCACATACTGTGAGTTGGGTTGCAGTTAGTGGCTGTTCTTGGTTTCAACTCTCCTGGTCACACACTTTCTCGTATTACAGAAAAAGAGTACATTAAAATAGGTTTTTGAAAACATTTTAAGTGGGGAATAGGCAATACAGTAACATAATCTTGATTCAGTTTGTCAATCTGTCGATGCTTGCCAATCACAGGGTTGCCACACCCTAAAGCATACCCTGCTTTGTCGTCTATATCTATGTATATGGAAGAGGACTTGAAATTTGTGATTAAGACCATAAACTCATTAGGAAACTGTAGCAAATAAATCAAGTGAGAAGTAGGCTCATTTCACCATCAAAACTATCAGACTTCTTCCAAGTTGGCTTCACTTCACAGACCAGGAAGCTCTGTCTACTAATTGTAAAATCAAGGAATATACAATATTATCAGCCCTAACAAAACAATAACTTGACCACTGACGTGAAGTGAACAACACTGATTATCTTGTTATCATGGCACCTGCCAGTGGGTGGGATATATTAGGAAGCAAATAAACATTTTGTTCTCAAGTTGATGTGTTAGAAGCAGGAAAAATGGGTGTAGGTAAGGATTTAAATGGCTTTGACAAAGGCCAAATTGTGATGGCTAGACAACCAGGTCACAGCATCTCCAAAAATGCAGCTCTTGTGGGGTGTTCCCGGTCTGCAGTGGTCAGTACCTATCAAAAGTTGTCCAAGGAAGGAAAAGTGGTGAACCGGCAACAGGGTCCAAGACTCAATGATGCAAAGAGTTATTGTCCGATCCAACAGACGAGTTACTGTAGCTCAAATTGCTGAAAAAGTTAATGCTGGTTCTGATAGAAAGGTTTCAGAACACACATTATTACCACCAGGGTGCCCATGTGGTAATAATGTTATGGCTGATTGGTGTATATGTATATTCTATATATATGCAGCCACTGGGCTTTGAACTCACCATCATGTTCTTTTCACAGTGTCTCTTTTCAAAGGAGGAAAGTAATTACAGTAACATCTCAAAAAAGCTATTCTGGTAATGCCCTTAACACTTATTGTTCTGGGGACATAATTGAATAATTATAATTGAGGGTACATTTGATTCAAATAGTGTTCTCAAGGCAAGCACTTCTGACAAAAGCTCATTTAACAGTAAATAACAAACTTCCAGAAAGAAGGGATGTGGGCACAGCACGTAAGGTCTGAGAGAGGCTGTCTGCAGTGCTGCGAGGTTTCTCTGCGGTATAGGTGGACCCACAGGGGATCCACAGGAGTAATTCATTGCCACTGCAGATGTTCAAACAGTCAAAGTGCATCGATCCTGCGTGCTCTCCTGAAAACAGCAAGCTAAGGTAGTGCCTGAAGATGCTCTTTATCCAGACCTTTCACTGTATAGAAAGTGTTTGTCTTTCTCCTGCAGTTTCAACATGGCACAGCAGAAACCAGACCATCAAAAGCTGACACTATAACACTAAAACTGAGCTTGTAATGTCTGAGTAGGAACCCTTCTGTCTACATAATCAAAGGCACTGGGTTTCCTCTTTAAATTCCAAGGTTGATATTGTCTTTTTTCCACACCAGCTGTGGGCAGATGGTGCATTTTTTAATCTGTTTTAACAACACAGCTCCCATCTCCCAAAGACATGGCCCTTCTAATTTGAGGTAAAATATGCTACATCTGTTTGGTTGAAAATTCAATATATGATGGTGTTTCCTAACCAGCCTGATGAAACCCCAGATGAAAACCAAGCTTTTAGAAGATCCAGACTGAGCAAGACTAAATAAATAACTAAAGAAAATGAGAGGTATCACTTTATAAAACCAATTTGAGGATGATTATCCTGTGAAGAGGAAAAATTCAGCTTACATTAAAAATAATCTCTGTGGTAAATATTAGAGTATAATTTCATTGTGTTTCGATTGGTACAGAACTTCCCTAACAACTAACCAAAGTCACTTAGATTTTTAGTCCATACACATACATTGTGTCATACATTGGCACAACCAAGCACTAGGATTAAGGGGGCACTCCAAGTACAGCTTTAATCAGGCCCAAAGTATCGAGTTCTGACCCAAGCCTGAATTTCCACTTGAAATAAATAAATATTAAAATAGTTTATTAAAAGCTTAAATAAACTATGTTGTGCATATAATATAGTTCAAATTATTATCAAAACTACAAATTAACTTATTACAACTAATTTCCGTTGCATCCCTTGTTAATAAAATAACAAATACACATATTTTTAAAAAATCTAATGTTGTGCGATCCTGGAGGAGCCTTGTCAAGTCGGAGTAAACAATCCTGATGAGGTCATAGTGATGTCATCATTAGAAATCCCAGAATACCACATACACCATCCTGCTGCCACAAATAATCACTAGAGCACCACACTAGTCCCTAATGAAACTAGTCCCCAGCTAATTCCCTATTTCCTCCTGTTTTCTGGATAAAAACTACAGGGAGCCTTTTATGTTAAATTGAAACTATGTATTTCTGAGGTGTTAAGTCTTTTCATTTTATTTACATCTTCAAGAACCAATGGTTTTATAGCTAAGAGCCACAGAGAAGGTTGGGGAGTTAGAATGTATTCAATGACGGACAAACACATTGTTGGTTTGGGTGTTTTCGTGGGATTTGTTCACAATAAATCTAACTGATCCTTTGTTGGCACCAATTTTCAATATGGACCAGACACAAAAAACATCAAGGGCTAGATTTACATATGTAATAGCACAGGGCAAATTCTGCGCCTTTCATTCAATTTGCACTCCGAATTTGCATGTAATTAGCACCTGATCAACCACTGCAGCAGCTCATTACACCAACAGCACTGAAGCAGCCGGAGAAGTTCAGTGGCGGATTTATCTGAGATCAGAGCTTAGAACAGAAATGATACTGCGATGCTGAGTTATAATACTCGGTAATGATGTAACAAAAACATTTACTTCACTTGTGAATAAAAATGTCTTTTACTCAGTAACAACATTAATGTACTGCTGAAAAAAATGATACAGCTCAGTAATACTAAGGTAAATTCAGCCAAATGCACATTTAAATGATCAGGTTATCACCTGTTGACCATCAAGTTAAAGTTTAATGAACAAAAGACCACAACTCCCTGTTCCCTCTTGATTGCGGTTATATTGTGTTCATTTATTGAAGTTTCTTTTCCCCATCCCAGCTCTTTTTTCTAACACACTATTTGAACATTCTCTTTCAGGGAATTTCCATGTAAAACTTTCTCTTTCAAAATGTATGATCCTTGACCCAACACTTACCTTGTATCAATTTATCTGTTCTTATCTATCACAAGAATACAAAACAAGCTTGTATACTGACTTAATGCCAGGTGTGAGTGCATTTGGATACAAATAGGAGCTATTACAGGCAGAGATCAGCAACATAGTGCTTTCATTCAATGTGCTTATGGCTGTTACTTACCTGAACCCTAAATAACTGTAATTTGACAGGGATCGTTTGATTTTTTGAGGGTTCCACCTAGATACACAGATACAGATAATACTCTCTCATCCCTAGTACCTGTTTTCCACATATATGCACCGACATGAAAATTGTTTTTATTTTTGGTATAAAATACTAAAAATGCTGGTAAATGATTTTACATATACTGTACATCAATATTCATACAATATTTAACTTAAAGGTCTATTGTGTGGAATTTAGTGGCGTCTAGCGGCGTAGCTGCATATAGCAAAAAAACTCAAACACCCCTGTCTAGAGCTAGTGTTTGGTTTGTCCATTTAGGGCTGCAGTAGAAACATGGTGGTTCAGCATTATAGACTCCACGGAAGGCAACTTGCACCATCTTTAAATAAAAACGTCTCAGTCCAAGGTAACAAAAACATAACAATTCCTATATTAAGGTTATTATACACTAATGAAAACATAGTTATAGCATATTATACTCAATTTCTACCAAAAGATCCTAAAGATCTAAATTATACACACTGGCTCTTTAATATTTCTTTATTAAAGTTATTTGTTTGAGAAAACAGCCTTTGTACCTTTGCATAGTCCTATCGACATAAAATCCACATAGGAAAGGTCTATTTTCATTCTAGCTCAAAAAATTACTATATCAAATGCCATATTGGTAAATGATGAATTTCCCCCCTCTAAAATTGGTAATAATGCCATATCGGTCAGGCTCTAGTTCCACCCACCTTAGTTATTTATAAGCAATTATTAGTTTTATTTTACACAATTTGGGTCTCCATACATCTCTATACCCACTAAAATAATGGAAAACAGTAACTCTTTTAAAGGGTGTTTTGGCACCTAGGAATTTTCCCAGCCTTTCCCGTTTGCTGTCAACAATGTAGATGTAAATTTACACACAGCTTCCTGGCTAATGCTCACTCATGTAGAGTATTCCACAGTTAGGATTATGTCAAATATCACTTTCTAGAGCAACAACTGTAAAAGACTGAACAACTGCCTATAATAATGTGATTCAGAAATGTCACCGCTTTTTCTGGCACTTGCTTGTCTCTCACCCAGAAGACAAATGGTGCCCTTTAACAGAAACGTCTCCTATGGCTTTTTCACCTCCAGTCATCTGCCAGTCCCCACAGATTATCAAACACAGTGAAGAAAAAAATGCAGCACCATTTGGTTATCATGCAGAGAAAGAGGTGTTAATAGAAGAAAGAAAAAAAAAAAACGTGGCAGAGATTTCTTCTAAGCCACTGATGAACAAATTTCCACTGTCAAATCAACATGGGTTAGTGCTCATGCTTCACCGAGCAATGGGAGAAGAAAAAAAGGAAATGTAGAAAGGGAGAAGGGGGCATGATCGCTTAAAAAAATTTATTTATCAAAGGAGGCAAAGAAACATGCAGAGCTGAATTCAGATCACGTCTGAGTCGGCAACAACAGGTGAGAAAAGGGCTACTGGGACCTCCTTCCTGTTTAGAGGTTCCCTCTCACGTCAGACAAGATCCTCTGGTTTATATGACTCCAAAGAGGAAAGAGGTTGATACAAAAATGAAGAGCTGAGAGATGTGCACTCGGATGCACTTCAAGGGGAGTAAAAAAGAAGGGGGGAGGAAGGAGGGGTCAAAATAAACTAATTTAAAAAGAGGTCTGCGGGTTTGCTGTCATGCACAAGAGTCAGGCTTTTATTTTGTTGGTCAAAAAGGGGGAAAAAAGAGAAAAATACCTTTATCACCGCCACCATCATTACTGTTGAAATCTGCGCCTTGCGCCTTGTTTGAGTTGGCCCCTGGTGTTGAGGAGAAAAGTAGAATAAGGGGGAGACATTTAAAAAAAAAAAAAAGAGAAAAAAAAGAAAAAAAATTTTTCAGCCAAAAAAGCAAAAGTTTAAAAAAAATAATCTGACTTAAAAATGCATGAAAAAGGTTGGGCTGCTGTGTGAAGAAAACAAGTGGGTACAGATTCATTGTGAGCTAAACAGAACAGCAGCCTGGCAGGGCCAAAACAGCAATTTGTGACCAAACATTTCCATCAGCTGAAACAAATGTGCCACACTGGTGCAATACACACTCTCATTAAGCGGACAGTCAGTGTACAGCATCAAAGCAGGCGTGTCAGGAAGACATGGAGAGCTTATGTTTCTCAGGAATGTGATGATCACTCAAACAATGGCTTGAGTTGAAAGACATTAAAAACAAAGTAACGATGACTCAGAATCAGTCAAATCTAATAAGAGCTCCATATTTAACACACAGACATGATATCAATTTTCTTGTCAAATTCTCTGACAGAGGAGTATTTCTTTTAACTAATTAACTTGAATTAACTTTGGCTGACTTGCTGCTAAATTCATTCCACCATCTTTCAAAATATGTATATGAAGTACATATATTTCACAGAAAGAAGTAAAATGTTTTATTTACTAGTTTATCCTTTGTTTTTATTCTTATACAATTCTCTTTAAATTTTAAGGGATGCCACCAAAGGGCCCCAGAGCTTCTAGCTCTGTGAAGTGAAGCCAACGTTGAAGTGTCTTAAACCTGCATTCTGTCTCGTGGCTAGCAGGGGTAGCTCCATGGACTGCAAAAAAGAATAATATATTCCTAATAATATTAAGTCTTATGGAGAAATGAGCCGACTTCTCACTTGATTTATTAGCTCAGTAAACAGTTTCCTAATTAGTTTATAGACTCAAACCCTAGTTTTAAGCTTTCTTTCATACAGCATGATGTTCATTTTTATGGTCCCATTTAGAGTAAATTAGACAATAAAGCAGGGTATGCTTTTTTTAATAGGCTTTTTGTATGATTGACAAGGCATTCTCTGTGAGTCTGTCCAGCGCAACACACCAAACTCAATTCAAACTGTCAAACTAGGCAGTGCTGATCATATATCGATCAAGGTTCTGTTACTGTATTGTTATTTCTCAGCTAAAATCTTTACAGAAACATTTTTTAGTATACAGTTTATCTGTAATATTCCTGTTATGGATGAGTCAAAAGTACACAGCCAAAGAGAGCAGGTCAACTTGCAGTACCTCATGGCTCCTGTCTCCAAAAAACAACATTACGATGGCCATAATGTCAAACTCAAGGCTTAAGAAACCAAAAGGTGATGTCATGATAGGTTCACACTTCTTTAACGTATTTTACATTAGGTACTAATCATTTAAATCAATGTATAGTGTTCTACATTTTGTTCACTTTCTGGCCAAAAAGCAGATGAGACAGATGGTAGGTTAGCTTAGCCTAAAGACTGGAAACAAGGGGACACAGCTAGCATGGCTCTGCCCAAAAATAACCAAATCTGCCAACTACCAACTGTATAAAGCTCATTAACACTTCACAGTGTAATATGTGAAAACAGGCTTTTTTCCAATTCACGTTACAGACATACAAAAAACAGTAGAAAAAAGTACAAAAGTACAGTTAAAAAATAAAAAATAAAACAAATAAGTAATTAAGAATGGGTTTTAAAAGCAATATACATTCTCTACATCACAACACTTTAGACCACTAGTTCCAAAAGTGGGTTCCATATATCCCTGTGGTGCCTTAAGGACGGGCCAAGGCAAGATCAGTCCTATCATTGTTTATTTTCTGTGCATTTTAATAACTTTTCATCATATAAAAATCAACATCAAACCATCATCAAGTAATGTTTAAGCAATAAATATAAAAAAAACTGTATTAACAAAATCTGTTTAATATGCCGGTTGTCATAGTAACACAATACAATTTGTGGCTCAGGAGTTTTTCCAAGAGCTCAGCAGTCAGATAAAGGGTGACCATCAGAGGAGCAATGGAACGATTTGACACGGTAAACAGATCTCAAAGAAATGCTGATACATCTCAGCCCTCAACAAAGTCTGACAGGACTGAATCTGAACCCACCAACAAAACTAAAATCAGACTCGACACTACTCGGCTAACAGCTTAACGGACAGGTTTGTCCGCTGTGGTACTGCCTGTTCCCTACATCATATATGTGTGATGTGGCTCTCTCATCTCTGGCAAACAAGAAAACCAGTGCAGAGAGCGCCTGTCAGAGGAGTCAGACCTGCAGGTTGTGCTCTGTCTCTCTCCCCATATAAAAAGCAGGCTCACATGTCCCATTAAAAAGCCTCAAAACCTTTTTTTTATTTATATATATACATTTTAAATACAAGAAAATATTTACTATTTATTTTTAACTATATATCTACATCTGTAGGGCACTTATATAATATTATATTATTTTATATGATGTAGTCAACCTGTTCTCACTCCCAAGTCATCAAGTACTGCTGCTTGCTTAGTGGTCCTTCAAAATATGACTCTTTATCCCATATTGTAACCTTAGTTGTGCTTGCAGCATATACTGCACACTGTAGGGGTAGTGCCCACTGTCAAACATTTGGCCCTGGCAAAGATCCAACAGTGAATAAATTGTTGACTGTATGAATACATTTCTGGTCTAAGATCAGTCTGGAGGCATTACTTTTTTTGCCTGAAATTGACAGTGGTACCTCAAAGATCAAGGAAACAAAGGTTATTGTCACTATGGAAACCTGAAATTCTGTAAATATACCTGTTTAACATGTTCTGGGTGTTCTGTTCATCAAGCTCAAAATAATGAGTACATTTATAGTTATCGACTTATCGTAAGATATACAATATGTAATTATCACCTGTCACGATATTGACTTATCACACCATATACGATATTGAAAGATCATTTGTCATGATAATGACTGATCATACAATATATACGATATGTTAACATCACCTGTCACAATATCGATTTATCGTATGATAAACGATATTGAATGATCGCCTGGCACGATATTGACTTATTGTGTATACGATATGTAATTATCGCCTGTCACAATATCGACTTATTGTTTAAGAAACTCACCAACATTTTAGCCAACATGTTGCTAAAATAAACAGCAGGGTTTTTATATAAAATTGTCTTAAAATGACAATGGTCTTAAAATGACAATTATATTGTTAATTTCAATTATTTGTCAGACAATATATTGTCCAACAAAAGTATTTATTGTGACAGTCCTAGTCCAACCTATAGAGATACATTTTGGATCTTTAAACATTGGATGGAGCTGCTGCAGTGATAGACACAGTGGAAACAAGTCCTGTAATTTAAGATCTCCCAGCCAGCTGGTGGCTTGCCAAATGACCATGAACAGCAGCAAACAAGCTGAGCTAACAGCAAATATTTGAGACACAATAGCTCTCAAAAACACCTATTTAGGCATTACTCATTTTGACTGGCAGGACACTGCTCGTTCTGTCTTGATCTTGTCAGATAGCATACTGACCTGCTAGACAAGAATAGGCAGCCGGCAGCAGTGTTAGTTTATAACCTGTAAGCATATTTACTTTAAATGGCAGACGAACACCTTTTACCTGTTGATGGTTCAAAATCTCTTCATGATGACTTGTGGTTTTAAACATGGCTGTTAGCTCTACAGTCTGTTTTCTGCTGTTGACTTTAGTTTAGAAAACCAGCAGCTGCTGGGAGGTCTCCAAGTATGGGACTCACAGCCTTGATTATAGTAACGTGCTGTCACTGCACTCAACTGCAACACCTCCTAAAACCTCAAACTGTCGTTTAGTGTGCGGATTAAACAAACACGATATAACAACTGTTGGTGTATTTATTTTATTTTTTTTCAATTTTGGACATTTGTGAGCCAAGCCCGGCTAATTATGTCATGTAGGGATGTGCATCTCCATCACTGAGGCCACTGCAGTATGCATCTCGATGCATTGCCAACGATCCGATACATTAAAGATAGATATACTATACAGCTACCAATGTGATACGATTCACCCCTATTGTGATACAGTTTGATTTGACACAATTTGATTCAGCAAAATGTGAATGTGACATGATGTAAAATAATATGATGCTAGACAATTCAACATAGTACAGATAGTTTAATTATAATTCTTTGGTTATTTTTGCAGCTTGAGAAACAGTTTAAAGAAGAGGAATACATTTAGATATATATATTGGTCACATTTCTAAATAATAAAGCTGTAGTGCTCCTACTAATAATTATATATAAATAGGATTGCAATGATGCAAATATGCATCCAGAGAACATCCCAAATTGTATCTGGTGCACACACACTCGGCGCAATCGCATCGTAATTTTTATGCCGATGCACCGATGTAAATAATCCTTATTGTCGTGATTTTGGCTCTGTATTTACCACACAGACATGATATTGTTATCAATATTCTCAACACTAAGAAAGAAACTGTATTCCCAAAAATGTTGAGCCATTCCTTTAAAGATACACTGGATCAAAGTTTCCTCACGGCTCAAATTAAAATCTGTCAACTGTGGTGAGTTAGGAAACATCAACGCAGAGAAAATTGAATGATTTTGGTAATAATATTGTGCGCTCCAACAAAACCATGGAGTGTATCTTTAAAATGGGAGATATAATATGGGCTTATTACTGCAAGTGCTGCTTCACCGTAATGAAATGAAGCAGACATAATATGAATGAGAGTTTTTGCCTTAAAAAAAATGGCGCTCATTATCCATGCTGCCCAATAGTCCTTGAGCTCTTACACTGTTCAGACTGTATCATCGGCTCAGTTCGTTGTGCCCCCACCTACATGATGTGCACTGTAGCATTCACTGATCAGCACCTGGTGGAGAATAGGTCTCAACAGGCACATAATGTGGCAGCATAGCTGGGATGGTGGAGTGTTTGCACAATATAGCTGCTCACTGAGAGAGCAAGCTGCACAAACACGTGCCAGTGCCAT